CCCTAACCTCTAACCCTAACTTCTAACCTTAACCTAACCCTAACCCTAACCTAAACCTAACCCTAACCCTAACCTCCAACCCTAACCCTAACCCTAACCTAACCCTAACCCTAACCACTAAACCTAACCTCTAACCCTAGCCATAACTCTAACCCTAACCCTAACTCTAACCGCTAACCCTAACCCTAACCCTAACCCTAACCAAACCCTAACCCTAACCCCAAACCCTAACCTCTAACTCTAACCCTAACTTCTAACCCTAACTTCTAACTCTAACCCCAACTCTAACCCTAACTCCTAAACCCTAACCTCTAACACTAACCCTAACCTCTAACCCTAACTTCTAACCCTAACCCCAACCCTAACCCTAACCTCTAACCCTAACTTCTAACCCTAACCCTAACCTAACCCTAACCCCTAACCCTAACCCCAACCCTAACCCTAACCCTTAACCCTAACTTCTAACCCTAACCCCAACCTAACCCTCACCTCTAATCCTAACCTCTAACCCTAAGTTAAAGGTAGGGTTAGGGTTAGGAGTTAGGGTTAGAGGTTAGGGTTAGAGTTAGGGTTAGGGTTAGAGGTTAGGGGTTGTGGATTAGGGTTAGGGTTAGGTTAGGGTTAGGGTTTGAAGTTAGGGTTAGGGTTAGGGTTAGGGTTAGAAGTTAGGGTTAGAGGTTAGGGTTAGGGTTGGGTTTGGGTTAGAGGTTAGAGGTTAGGGTTAGGGTTAGGGTTAGGGTTAGAGGTTAGGGTTAGAGTTGTGGTTAGGTTTGGGTTAGGGTTAAGGTTAGGGCAAATCAAGAAAAGTAGACAAATGATCGAAGGTGGGCAGATCACCCAAAATAGGCAAATCAAAGAAAGTAGACAAATCAACCAAAGTAGGCTAGTCAACTAAAGAAGGCTGATCACCAAAAGCTAAGGAGGGAAATCTACAAAAGTTGGCAGATTACCAAAAGTAGGGAAATCAACAAAAGTATGCTGATCACCAAAAGTAGGCATATCACCCAAAGTACACTCTTTTTTTGTTAGAATATATCTTATAAGAATATCGAGGCTGAAATTTGCGAAATTTTAAGAATATTTTAAGAATAAAGCCGAGGCTGAGATTTTGAAAAGGATAGGTATAATTTTGTGTGCGAAATGCTTTTTTGAAAGCCAAAACGGCCAAGTGTCGTTTGACGTGACATCTTGACCTCGCTGACTGCAACGAAAAGCGATGGAGCACGTGCACAATGTAACGCGATAAAGATCTAGATACCAAACACTTTTACTTGATACCCCAATAAATTCTAAAACGGAAATGTCATAAGCTATAATTTAAGAATAATACAAGAATATTTTCAGCCTATAATCGGCAGAAAAATAAGAATATTCAGCCTGGGCCGGAAAAACAACATTCTTATATAAAAAAAAGAGTGTAGGCAAGTTTGCCACGCGCTTAATAATCCCGGGGGGGGACTACTGGGAATTCTCGATAGGGTGTCCGCCCGGTTCTCAAAATCGGTTCTCTTATATACTCCCTTACGATCTGTCAACGGAAACGTCACTGAAAAACTGACTTCGCACCCTTTCAAACTTTTTTGCCTTTATTCCAACTCGATCAGTCTGTAATGAAAGTTGGCAAANACAAAAGTATGCTGATCACCAAAAGTAGGCATATCACCCAAAGTACACTCTTTTTTTGTTAGAATATATCTTATAAGAATATCGAGGCTGAAATTTGCGAAATTTTAAGAATATTTTAAGAATAAAGCCGAGGCTGAGATTTTGAAAAGGATAGGTATAATTTTGTGTGCGAAATGCTTTTTTGAAAGCCAAAACGGCCAAGTGTCGTTTGACGTGACATCTTGACCTCGCTGACTGCAACGAAAAGCGATGGAGCACGTGCACAATGTAACGCGATAAAGATCTAGATACCAAACACTTGTACTTGATACCCCAATAAATTCTAAAACGGAAATGTCATAAGCTATAATTTAAGAATAATACAAGAATATTTTCAGCCTATAAACGGAAGAAAAATAAGAATATTCAGCCTGGGCCGGAAAAACAACATTCTTATATAAAAAAAAGAGTGTAGGCAAGTTTGCCACGCGCTTAATAATCCCGGGGGGTGGGACTACTGGGAATTCTCGATAGGGTGTCCGCCCGGTTCTCAAAATCGGTTCTCTTATATACTCCCTTACGATCTGTCAACGGAAACGTCACTGAAAAACTGACTTCGCACCCTTTCAAACTTTTTTGCCTTTATTCCAACTCGATCAGTCTGTAATGAAAGTTGGCAAATTAATCGATGTTTGTATTCCTGCACTGACCACACAGGAGTGAGTTGTAGTTTTGCAAACTAAACCTGACTGCGGTTACCCTTTTTTTTAATTAAAGTAGTCAGCCTATAATTTGGGGTCAAAATTTTAAATTTCTTCTAAGTCAGTTTATAGTCAAATTAGACCTGGAAATGACGTTTGGCAACGTTGTAGAGTGTTTGCAAGGTCATCTACTTTCAGTTTTTGACGGCGGCCATCTTTTGGTTTTTTCAGGAGGTTACAGTGGAACCTCGATATAACAAAGTCTTCGGTACAACAACGATTTCTTTTTTTGATTAGCCTACTTTGGTTGATTTGCCTGCTTTGGTTGATTTGTCTACTTTGGGTGATCTGCCTACTTTTGTTGATTTGCCTACTTTGGGTGATTTGCCTTCTTTGGTTGATCTGCCTGCTTGTGTTGATTTGCCTACTTTATTTGATCTGCCTACTTTGAGTGATCTGCCTACGTTTGTTGATTTGCCTACTTTGGGTGATCTGCCTACTTTTGTTGATTTGCTTACTTTGGGTGATCAGTCTACTTTGGATCAACGAACGTAGGCAAATCAACAAAAGTAGGCAAATCAACCAAGGATGGGCGTATCAGCCAATAGTAGGCAGATGAACCAAAATAGGCTGTTATTTCGTGTCGTTTAATTTGTCATATGTTGGTTAATTTTTGTGGAGTTTAATACCAAGATTGACAGCGAATTAGAACATCGTTGTTTTGACGGACGTGAAATTCGGCAGTTTCAAGTCGTAGTCATGTGAAGACGGCAAAGAAAAGTACAAAAAAGCGTGAATCATGTGTAACGTTTTGTCTTACTGGTCCATTTTGTTTACCTTAGCTACCTAATGACTGTGCGCAAGGAAAAGAAACAAACACAAAAGATGCAGGGACTTCATGACACAGATTACATTAATCCAAAGTTTATTTTTTCAACCTGATAAATGTAACGTTTCTAACCAGTATATAAACATTAAGCTTATAAACTTTTATTTTCTTTGCGATTAACTTCTGTCCATGAAGACATCCCTTGACTGTAATAAAGAGTGCTGTGATATGATCCATTATTAAATGTCTCTAGTTTAACTGATTTGGTTTGTAAACTTGCAGAAATAAAATACAGTAATGAAAATATAAATTCAAGAAAGAATGCCCCCGTAAATCACAACTTGAAATGCAACAGATAATTTCTAAGCTATCGGAAGTACTGATCATACGCGACTGTTGTCTGGCGCGATTTAGCGCAACGAAAAGCAGCCACATATTTTAAGGATTGCGTTCATTGAGTGACTCTTGATAGCAGAGTTTATAACCAACCCAAGTTACTATTTTTTAAATATCTCATCAAGCCTTTTAAGACGGTGCTCATGAGCACTGTGATCTCTAATGGTCTGGCTCCGTGCCTGCAATGACAGAAGGTCAGCGTACTCTCTCTGGGTAAACTTAGCACCTTGCTCATCAATAGACGTCAGTGTTTCCTGTTGGGGAAATATAACACAAAATTTGCTTAAGAGCAACTATTTCTTCTACAATCAGTAATAGTAATAAAACATTTCATCAGACCTTTAGTACTCCATACAAAGTTCTATTTCAAACGCAGAGTCACCGAGGCCCCTTCCACATGTATCCAGATATTTTTTAAAACTGATATTTTTTCTCCGTTTAAACCTTCCGTGCACATGTAAACGCAACCTCGTTCCCAGGGTTAAACCTGGAAACCAGGTTGACATAAACGATGTCTTTAGGCACAATAAACACAGATGTTTGTAAACGGTCCCTTGAGTGGAGATTTTTATGAAAAAGCCGGATTGTCGTCTTCGAACACGAAGGTTTGCGAAAGTGATTACGTGTGGATGCGCACTTTTTTGAAAACGGAGAGAAAAAATCTCGGATACGTCAAGTCGTGGCCTTAAAGGCACCCTCATTTCGGTGAAGAGGATGCAAGATGGCTCCATAGATCAGGAAAGATGATAAACTAGGGGTGCTTTCCATTCAGCCCAAAATTCAGGAAAATTCTGTTAGAAATCAAGTGGAACGGACCATTTCGGTTCGGTCTGACCGGAATATTTGCGACCACCTTAGAAGGTGGTCCACTTTGACCCGCCCGCTCATTTCGGTCGGTCGGACCGAAATGTCCCTTTTCATTTGACAAAATTGTTGTCGCCAGTACCCTTCTTTTGCATCCAGCTTACAAGAACAATTACTAAACGCGCGGTGGCCCGGGTCGGGTCTGTGCAACCGGAATGTACCGTTCCGTTAGGCACGCTGAATTTCCCAAATTTCAAACCGAAAAGCGAGCCTGAAGTCGTGGAGGATATAATATATGCCCTAGGTTGTGTCCCCATAAGGCAAAGACTAAAATTTTAATTAGCAATTAAGTTGGAAAGAACAAACTTAAGGCTCAAGTTGAATTCACTTTAAAAGTTTGAGAAAGGAAAGGAAAGCCTATCAGTTATGAACGACATTTTTTACAAAAGGAGGAAGAACCTGGCTAGATTCCTGGTCACGAAACTCTTTCTTTTCTGTAACAGTTCAAAAATAATCTAAATGTCATCTTTTGTAGACTCGACTTTTCGCCGCTCTCTGTTTACCAAAGAGAAATTTGCGAGTCGTTTTAGGTTTATGTGTGATTGGCTGATTGAACTCGCAGAAACTGAGGGAGATTTGGTACTTACATCATCATCTTTTGTAGACTCGACTTTTCGCCGCTCTCTGTTTACCAAAGAGAAATTTGCGAGTCGTTTTAGGTTTATGTGTGATTGGCTGATTGAACTCGCAGAAACTGAGGGAGATTTGGTACTTACATCAGGATTTGAGTAAAGCAACTCGTAGTACTGCCGGGCTCGGTCAAGATCCGCCTCTCTCGACATGGTGATGTTTGTCAGGTTTTGTTGGATAGCAAAGATATTTCGGCACCTGTAAAATACCCGGAAAAAAGGAATTGTGTCATTTGTTGCGTCATTTCAAATGATTTGCTTTAGTACGAACAAAAGCCCCCTACACTTTGGTTGGATTCTTTGTCCAAAGAGTACTCAGGAACGGCACGAAAACTATCTGAACAAGACGGGGCGGGAGGTTAGGGCGCATCACCTCTTCAGTGCAAACGCCTATTAGAGATGATAAACCACTGTCACAAGAGCTCTGTGCAACAGAATAATGCTGTGTATCAGTACAAATGAGAAGACAGTTTATCGCTTTGTTACCCCTGACATTATGTCGCTGGTAACCATTTAAGCAATCGCCCATTTTACGGTTACAGGTGAAAACGAGGCTGGAGTTGACCTTGTTTTGATACAACCCTTCCTGCTTTATTATGTAAATCATGTTGTTCTTATGATAACGAGTATTTTTTAAGCATAATTTCCACAAAAAAAAGGAACGAGGTGAGTATCAAAACAAGGTCAACCTCAGCTTCAAGTTCATTCAAAGGCTAGGATACCCCACAACTGTAAAATGGGAAAAATAAATAATAAGTGTAAATTGGGTCGAGAGAGAGAATGCGAAGTAAGGTTTCTTGTCAATAAAACTAATAGATATAATGACAAAGACCAACCAAGTCCATCCACCCATTACTCGGCCGCTGCGCCCTCATGGCTAGACTTTAAACATAACTTGCGGAAAAGAAAAAGAGCGACCATTATTAAAAAGGGGTGAAGGGGTTTCTCTCCTTACATTTTCTTAATGCCATTTTGATTGATCCTTTTGATCTCCGAAATATTTGAAACCAGAATCGACGAAACAAGGAAACCAACTCCTTCAAACAAATATCTGAAAACAAAAAAAATACAACAGTTATATCCTCCGGTGAACTAAATACAGAAAATGTTGCTCGCGTGTTGGACAGCTGACCCTCAGCTGGGCTTTCTATGTAATGAGTTGATGAGGTAAGATTAAATTGTCTTACATCACGGGAAATTCTGCATAAGCTGGCATTAGGATCGTTGGCTCCCATCTCAGCAAAATCGCAATAGGCCATGTTTCATGCAACTTATCTCGAATTTTTGTTGCTACACAAATTACAGGAGGAGCGTTACACTGCAGCATTAGGTGTATCGCTGTGTAATGTACAGCCAAGTTCTACTTCTCAGTATGTTATACCATGGGCCACTTTTTCAAACATCATAAAGGAAAACAAAATTGATTGCGAGACAAGTTGCAAGAGACAGTGTTCAATGTTTTCCCCAGGTGGGGGGTACTCAACCAAATTTTGTACAGGAAGGCTCCGCCCCGTAGTCCAAGACCTTATCCAACTCGTTTTGACAAAAATGATGCCTCTTTCACACACTGGTTAAGAACGCTGCATCCCTTTTAACTGCTGTAAATGCACCGTCTTTTAAAAATAAATAAAATCACACTGAACCAGGAAGTTTTCTTGTCTTTTTCACAGCCATAAAATGCACCTGTCAGCCTTTTTAGGTCCTCTGACAAAACGTAATGACAGATTTCCGTACACTTTCTTTTACTTCATCTAGTGAAGTCACTACCCTTTGATATACCCGAGGCCTAAAAAAGGTACCTCCTTTGGGTGGACACCGTGGGGTGTTTTCACACTCAACCCAACCGGTGGCTTTGTTTGTCAATTTACCTGAACTTGTAATGCCCCATACAAGCGGTCGCTATCTCCTCAAAGGCCGACAAACGTTTGTTCAGATTGTTGACGTTGGAATCTGGGTCCATAGCATTAGAGCTGCACATGTAGGAAGACTGAAAAATACAAAGATTGAATTAACACAATGACAGGAAAACCACAAACTAATCAGAAAACACAGAAGACTTCAGAATAAACTGAATTTTACCAGTCAATAAGATCGACAAGAGACGAAAAGCTACTTCGTGGTGCTTTTCTGCACCACTACACTGATTTAAGGTGGCGCTAAATTCTGAGTCTGCAAATAAAATCCTGAAGCAAGGGCATTCAAATGAAAGCTACTGAGCAGGTACTTTCCTATAATGCTATGGTGTTACTTGTTATGCTTAATTAGGGTTATTCTTGCTTTTGAATCAGTGGATTACATCGTGGAATGCGATCATTACTGATTCGTTTTATCTTTCAAGAGACTTCATTCATGAGATTGTTTGTTGCTGAGTAAAGCGAAAGTCGCTTACTTCCTGTACAGCTCTCATAAGGTAGTAAAAACAGTGGCATCGGATCTCCAGGTGAAGCACGAGCAAACATGATTCAGAGATGTTCTGAAAGTCTTCGGCGAGCGTCGTCAGAGATCTGATGGATTGAACAAAGTAGAAACACTGTAAATAGTAAGAAACTTATACACGGACGTATGAAAGAGGCTACCCTATTACCCACACCGCAAGTTTTTCATCTTAAAAGGTCCAGCGAAAATATTGTCAACAAATGGATATTTAGTCCTGACAAGTCGCTTCAGGGTCTTTGAGGACATAAATTTCTCCGCATTGAAATGTTTCTAAATAAATGATCGTTGTAAGCTAACACATAGAGCAACTACAAATATTGACTGAGTAAAAGAAAACCAGACGAATTTCGACACAAACTTAACATGCAACCTTTGCTTAGGGAATTATTGAAAAGTGACGGGGAATGTCGAATTAGTAAAATCCAACTAGTGGTCTATTATCAATGCTGCGTTCTGATTGGTTGAGCTACTACTAGGCTATATGTTAACGCCCCCTAGTAGCGAAAAGCGCAGGCTTTTTGGCGGCAAAAAAGGATTAACGTCTAGCTTTAACTAGCTAAACTTTTTTTATTCTCGATATTTTTGACCAACTAGTTAGGATTTTACTAAAACAATTATTCCCCTCGCCCTCATGGCCTCTGACTTAATAGTCCATTCAGCCTTCGGCCTCATGGGCTATTGACTCAGAGCCCATTTAATTCGAGCTCGAGGAATAATTGTTAATTAATCGATAGAGGTACAAAAGGCGGGAATATGCATAGCCCATGCCAAGCGCAATAGTGGCACAAAACGCGGGAAAATGTTAAGCCCATGCCAAGCGCGGGACTGGCACAAAGGGCGCTTACACAAGCTTACACCTAACGCCGAACTTGCTGGACAACCAAAAAAATTCCTCAAACGACAACCGGTTAACAAAAATATTTTGAAGTCTGATAATAAATGTTCTCCTGTATAAACGTTTGAAAATACTCACTTTAGGATTTCTTCAGAGACTGGCGGAATCTCTTGCTGCAACGTAAACAGCCAAACAAAAGTGACAATGAACATGTACACTTAAGACTAGATAGATGCACATGGGTTCAAGCAAATATGAAACGCGTGCAAGAAGAAATGCACTTGATTTATTCTTTCTCCCTTTTGTCGCCTGTCACAAAGGCGGTTTAGGATTAACATTCAAATTATCCTGACCTGGAAAGCTTTATCAGAACTCGGCTGTAAAAGGAAAATGTAGTGCTGCTAAAACCCAACATTGCTTCTAAACGTTCTTTAAAATACTAGTAAGTATCCACGTTAAGTTTCATATTTTACCGCCAACAGTCATTCAGGCTTTCACTGAAAACGGTAGCATTCGAGTTTCTTTACGGTGGCTGGCGAGGAATTTATAAGACGTATTTAACTCTTCTCTGATATCTCCGAGCTGCGGTTGGTTATTGTTAGAGAAAATAACATTTAGCACCCGAACAAACCAGGAAAACAAAGCCAAATGAGAAGTTAATCACCTTAGTTCCTGTTTAACATATCATTTGCTGTCGCAAATTTAATTACACGTTTAATTCATGGAAAGTACATAGGTTTAATACACTTCCTGATTATCTTAAATAGCTTAGTAACACTAACTTACCCAGTTTCTACCATAAACGTACGCAATTCCAAAGCCACTTTTGACTTCTCTCTGTTTCAAGTTTAATATTGTGTCATTTAATGTATAAATTAATCATTTTAATTCATTACTATTAAATTGCTTTATCATTCGCTGAGATACGTTATATAGTTCAAAGCATCTATTATAATATCGTTTTCACACATGAAGGTAAGTTACTTCGCAGAGCGGTCCTCACTTCAGTGTTAAAAAGCATCTGCTTTAATTTTACACTACTGTGCTTTCTGATTGGCTAAAACAACTTCGCCACCCCGTTTTCCACCAATAAGGTCCAAAAGAAAACCAATTGCACAAGGTTTCCCGCGCTTGGCACGAGAGAAGTGTACTTTCCACGAGCTATGATTGGTTGACTGGAGTGACTGGCGTAAATGAAACCGGCGAAGATAATTGTTTTCGTGTTTGTGTACCAACGGACAGGAGAAAACCGCTCTGCGCAAAGGGTAATAGATTATTATAGAGTGAAACCTTCATAAGTTAGGTTGCATTGGTTAAAGGCATCAATTTATTTGTAGCTAAATGAGTTTTCAGTTAAAAGTATTAAAATACGATCGCTTAGACAGCCTCCTTAAAAAAAAAGTATTAACAATATTAGCATTAATATTAGAGATCAGTGAGGTGGTTTAAAATTGTGCCAGATTTATATGAGGTGCTTAGAGGGAATAGACTGCATACTATGTTACACGCATTCATGTTTAGAGAAACTAATTCATCAAATAAATACTTCAGCTTAAACAACGGTTGACTCTTTATTCAGCTGTAGAAGAAAGATCCGATTTCCTGAAGTACAGGGAAAATACCCTCCGTCCCACCCACAACAGTCTCCTCAAGTTTTTTAGTTGCTTGAGCACACACTATTTTAGACTATAGTCAATAGAGAAGACAAGGCAAACATTAAAGATAAAGATAACACTGGCATGGTTGCCGTAGCCAGAGGTTTTTGAAAATGCCTGACTTTTCCCTGACTTTTTCCTGACAAATGTAAAATTTCCCTAACCAAGTGAATTAACAATTTCCCAAATTAGTCCTGATACCGCTCACACCCATCCTCTCCACCTATTTATTTATGCTTTTAGCAAGTCACATGTAATGTGCATGAATTGATAGTTCCTTAATACAATGTGCAAACAAGAGTGATTTTTTTGGAAACACAACATCAGCTTGTTGTTCAATACAACATGATTCATGTCCGTAAAAAAGTACCAACTGAATGTACCTTTAAAATTTCCCTGACTTGAAGTGAAATTCCCTGACTTTTCCCTGACCTTGAAGAAATTTTATTTTCCCTTACCATTTCCTGACCTGTGGCAACCATGACTGCGACAGCTTACGTTGGGAGCTCACTGACAGTACACAATCCTTCTTTTTTGTTCACAAATTGACAGGGAATAAACTAGCGCGACGTTTTTATTGCCCAGTAAGATCAAAATTATAGGAATGCTATTGAAAGTTGTGCACCGCCAAGTCCACAAAAACATATAACAAAGGTCTCTGAAGAGCTTCATAACCAATTCAACTCTATTAACTATGCATGGAAACAAAGTGGAACATTTAGTAAACAACTACGAATCACCCCATTCTCCTAAAACCGTCTCCAGAACACAGATGCAGAGCTCACCGCTTTGATTCTTTCTTGGGTATCAGACGATACCAAGCTTATAGATGTGGACTGTGCTGTTAGGCTGGTGGTAAAACCTCGAATATGACCTGCCAGCCATTCCTGTCAAAACAACAAAGTGTGCAACTTACATCAAAGCCTTTTCCCCTGGTTGTCATACGAGGCTGCTCATGCAAGGCGAGTCTAGCGTGGTGAGAGATCTAATGACCTGTGGTGAGTCTCTCACAGTGCGAATGGCAATTTACGCGAGGTGAAAAATGCGTTTACCTTCCAGTTTGCCTGTCAAAACACAGGTATCCCAAAAGGCAGATCACGCAACGCAAGTAATAATTATCGTCAGTATCATAAAAGCATAATAATCATAATCACAATCCTAAACATTATCACTATCATAATCATCATTATCATCATCATAATCATGTTATTCCTTTATTCATCTTCGGTAGTATTTATAGTGCAAAGGCCAGTGGGGCCGAGAAAACAACCGAAACAATAAAATTTAGCAAACATAACGGGGTCACTGTCACTGTCACTGTCACTCACTGGAGGTAAACCAGTTGGCTATTTTTTTCAGCAAGCATGATCGAGGATGTCAGCTCGGGACTACCGAGAAAAAATCGGGCCAGCAGGGCGGCACTTGAACTCGGGGACTCCCGAATGCAAGTCCGGCGCTCTAACCACTCGGTCACGCTGCCTCCTAAATTTTTCTGGTTGCTTAAAAACATATAGGGCGAAGCGAGAGACTGAGTCACCTCAGGATGGCAGTGTGTGTCACGCAAGGTGAGTAACACTAATACTCGGCCTTTCTTAATACTATTACCTCCTTACCATACTCTCCTGAAGATTTGCCAGTGTTCGTAGGTCACGTGTTTCAAACAGCACCTCGCCATCGTTAAGAGTGTGTTTCGCCAGATTGTCCGTCAATATATCAGTCTCCTTTATTAAAAACGGAACAAAATAAGACGTGTAGTGTAATAACAATGGTAGTTCCTTCCTGTCTCAACTATAGCCGAAAACATGACCAAACATGCTAAATTAACTGCTAAATTTTTTAATCGAATGACTGGTAGCTCATCCAAGACCAACAAAAGCAAAAGAAAGTTGCTCCAGCGTTACCTTTTGGTTTCGTTTTCTAGCTGCTTCAACATCCTGTTCATCGTCCTCCTAAAAATGACGCATCGTTAGTAGCCATAACCTTCCTAGATTGCTTAGGAGCAGTCATTTAGCTATAAATAGAATTTAACTGAAGGTGTAGCGATATCAAATAGTAAAACTAACAACTAGATTCACACGCACATGAAGTAACTTTGCTTCCTGTCCGTGGAACCACAATCGTCTAATTATCCGTATTGCACGTGGGAAAGGTTACTTCTCTTCGAGAATCAACTACCACTCTTGTTCCGTCTCAGGCTTCCATTTAATTCGTTTATAGAGGGGAAACAAAAATTACTTCGAGTTAGCGGGAGTTTCGAGTTATCGAGGGTTCGAGTTACCGAGGGTAAAATTACAGTAAATGTATGACGGAAATCCAGGGGAAATCGATTTTGGTTCGAGTTAGCGAGGGTTCGAGTTATCGGGAGTCAACTGTAAATAAAATCACACTGAACCAGGAAGTTTTCTTGTCTTTTTCACAGCCATAAAATGCACCTGTCAGCCCTTTTAGGTCCTCTCACAAAACGCAATGAATACCTGAAGCCTAAAAAAGGTAACCCCTTCGAGTGGACTCCCTGGGGTGTTTTCACAATCAGCACAACCGCTGGCTTTGTTTGTCAATTTACCTGAACTTGTAATGCCCCATACAAGCGGTCGCTATCTCCTCAAAGGCCGACAAACGTTTGTTAAGATTGTTGACGTTGGAATCTGGGTCCATAGCATTAGAGCTGCACATGTAGGAAGACTGAAAAATACAAAGATTGAATTAAAACAATGACAGGAAAACCACAAACTAATCAGAAAACACAGAAGGACTTCAGAATAAACTGAATTTTACCAGTCAATAAGATCGACAAGAGACGAAAAGCTACTTCCTGGTGCTTATCTGCACCACTACACTGATTTAAGGTGGCGCTAAATTCTGAGTCTGCAAATAAAATCCTGAAGCAAGGGCACTCAAATGAAAGCTACTGAGCAGTACTTTCCTATAATGCTATGGTTACTTGTTATGCTTAATTAGGGTTATTCTTGCTTTTGAATCAGTGGATCAAATCGTGGAATGCGATCATTACTGATTCGTTTTATCTTTCAAGAGACTTCATTCATGAGATTGTTTGCTGCTGAGTAAAGCGAAAGTCGCTTACTTCCTGTACAGCCCTCATGAGGAAGTAAAAACAGTGGCATCGGATCTCCAGGTGAAGCACGAGCAAACATGATTCAGAGATGTTCTGAAAGTCTTCGGCGAGCGTCGTCAGAGATCTAATGGAGAAACACTGTAAATAGTAAGAAACTTATACACGGACGAATGAAAGAGGCTACCCCATTACCCACACCGCAAGTTTTTCATCCTAAAAGGCCCAGCGGAAATATTGTCAACAAATGGATATTTAGTCCTGACAAGTCGTTTCAGGGTCTTTGAGGACATAAATTTCTCCGCATTAAAATGTTTCTAAATAAATGATCGTTGTAAGCTAACACATAGAGCAACTACAAATATTGACTGAGTAAAAGAAAACCAGACGAATTTCGACACAAACTTAACATGCAACCCTTGCTTAGGGAATTATTGAAAAGTGACGGGGAATGTCGTATTAGTAAAATCCAACTAGTGGTCTATTATCAATGCTGCGTTCTGATTGGTTGAGCTACTACTAGGCTATATGTTATAGCCCCCTAGTAGCGAAAAGCGCAGGCTTTTTGGCGGCAAAAAAGGATTAAAGTCTAGCTTTGACTAGCTAAACTTTTTTTATTCTCGATATTTTTGACCAACTAGTTGGATTTTACTAAAACAATCATTTCCCTCGCCCTCATGGCCTCCGAGTTAATAGCCCATTCGGCCTTCGGCCTCATGGGCTATTGACTCAGAGCCCATTTAATTCGGGCTCGAGGAATAATTGTTAATTAATCGATAGGGGTACAAAAGGCGGGAAAATGCATAGCCCATACCAAGCGCAATAGTGGCACAAAACGCGGGAAAATGTTTAGCCCATGCCAAGCGCGGGACTGGCACAAAGGGTGGGAAAATGCGCTTACACAAGCTTTCACCTAACGCCCAACTTGCTGGACAACCAAAAAAATTCCTCAAACGACAACCGGTCAACAAAAATATTTCGAAGTCTGATAATAAATGTTCTCTTGTATAAACGTTTGAAAATACTCACTTTAGGATTTCTTCAGAGACTGGCGGAATCTCTTGCTGCAACGTAAACAGCCAAACAAAAGTGACAATGAACATGTACACTTAAGACTAGATAGATGCACATGGGTTCAAGCAAATATGAAACGCGTGCAAGAAGAAATGCACTTAATTTATTCTTTCTCCCTTTTGTCGCCTGTCCCAAAGGCGGTTTAGGATTAACATTCAAATTATCCTGACCTGGAAAGCTTTATCAGAACTCGGCTGTAAAAGGAAAATGTAGCGCTGCTAAAACCCAACATTACTTCTAAACGTTCTTTAAAATACTAGTAAGTGTCCACGTCAAGTTTCATATTTTGCCGCCAACAGTCATATATTTTGAGACAGTTATGTGGTATGTAATATTCAATTGCTCATTGTTGTATGGAAGAAGGTTCATAAACGGTTTGTGAACCTTCTTCCATACAACAATTAGCAACATCTTCTCTCCACTATACAATGTATCACACCTTTTTACGTTTTGTGTCTTTTGCTATTTCTCAGTTTTATCACAAAGTACGAGAATTACCTGAAAACTTAAATTAAATTTTCCACCAAGTTTTTACGGTACGCATAGACTTAAGGAAGATGAAGGTAAGCATGTCAGAGAGGCTATTTTAGCTTTACAAATACCTTAGAGCATTACGTGTTGGCATCATGACATTGTTTGCCTAAAATCTGGCTTTAACGCATTTCGTATTACAAGAGATACTTCTGCTAACAGACTGAACGAGCCTTTGTTCACTTCGCATCATTGTTTTATCTTTCTCAATTTTAAAAGCCCGAAATTCTGCTTTTTTGTAAGAGAGATTAGCTATCGCGAAGGGCTTTCACTGAAAACGGTAGCATTCGAGTTTCTTTACGGTGGCTGGCGAGGAATTTATTAGACGTATTTAACTCTTCTCTGATATCTCCGAGTTGCAGTTGGTTACTGTTAGAGAAAATAACATTTAGCACCCGAACAAACCAGGAAAACAAAGCCAAATGAGAAGTTAATCACCTTAGTTCCTGTTTAACATATCATTTGCTGTCGCAAATTTTAATTACACGTTTAATTCATGGGAAGTACATAGGTTTAATACACTTCCTGGTTATTTTAAATAGCTTAGTAAAACTAACTTACCCAGTTTCTACCATAAACGTACGCAATTCCAAAGCCACTTTTGACTTCTCTCTGTTTCAAGTTTAATATTGTGTCATTTAATGCATAAATTAATCATTTTAATTCATTACTATTAAATTGCTTTATCATTCGATGAGATACGTTATATAGTTCAAAGCATCTATTATAATATCGTTTTCACACATGAAGGTAAGTTACTTCGCAGAGCGGTCCTCACTTCAGTGTTAAAAAGCATCTGCTTTAATTTTACACTACTGTGCTTTCTGATTGGCTAAAACAACTTCGCCACCCCGTTTTCCACCAATCAGGTCCAAAAGAAAACCAATTGCACAAGGTTTCCCGCGCTTGGCACGAGAGAAGTGTACTTTCCTCGAGCTATGATTGGTTCACTGGAGTGACTAGCGTAAATGAAACCGCCGAAGATAATTGCTTTCGCGTTGGTGTAACAAAGGACAGGAGAAAACCGCTCTGCGCAAAGGGTAATAGATTATCATAAGTTAAGTTATAAGTTATTATAAGTTAACTTCATAAGTTAAATTGCATTGGTTAAAAGCATCAATTTATTTGTAGCTAAATGAGTTTTCAGTTAAAAGTATTAAAATACGATCGCTTAGACAACCTGCTTCAACAAAAAGGTATTAACAATATTAGCATTAATGTCTGAGATGAGTAAGGTGGTTTAAAATTTTGTCAGTTTTATATGAGGTGCTTAGAGTGAAAAGACTGCATACTATGTTACACGCATTCATGTTTAGAGAAACTATATCAAATAAATACTTCAGCTTAAACAACGGTTGAGTCTTTATTCAGCTGTTTTCTCTAGAAGAAAAATCCGATTTCCTGAAGTACAGGGAAAATACCCTCCGTCCCACCCACAACAGTCGCCTCAAGTTTTTTAGTTGCTTGAGCACACACTATTTCAGACTATAGTCAATAGAGAAGACAAGGCAAACATCAAAATAACACTGGCATGGTTGCCGTAGCCAGAGGTTTTTAAAATTGCCTGACTTTTCCCTGACTTTTTCCTGACAAATGTAAAATTTCCCTAACCAAGTGAATTAAAAATTTCCCAAATTAGTTTTGATACCCTTCACAGCCACCTTCTCCACCTATTTATTTATGCTTTTAGCAAGTCGCATGTAATGTGCATGAATTGATAGTTCCTTAATATGATAGGCAAACAAGAGTGATTTTTTTGAAAACACAACATCAGCTTGTTGTTCAATACAACATGATTCATGTCCGTAAAAAAGTACCAACTGAATGTACCTTTAAAATTTCACTTTTCCCTGAGTTCTTTCAAAGACTTAAATTTTCCCTGACTCGAAGTGAAATTCCCTGACTTTTCCGTGACCTTGAAGAAATTTTATTTTCCCTGACCATTTCCTGACCTGTGGCAACCATGACTGCTACAGCTTACGTTGGGAGCTCACTGACAGTGCACAATCCTTCTTTTTTGTTCACAAATTGACAGGGAATAATTTAGTGCGACGTTTTTATTGGCCAATAAGATCAAAATGATAGGAATGCTATCGTACGTTGTGCACCGCCAAGCCCACAAAAACACAGAACTTAAAGTAAAGTGTATAGAAGCCCTTACAACTACAGTCTGCTGCACAGCAACGCTCCTCCCCACAAAGGGAGAAGCGCGACGACACTAAAAACGGCTGCATAGCGGACTATTACAACTACGAATCACCCCATTCTCCTACA